CACTTTATACGCTTAGCTGGTATAATCGCGATCGTACTTAGGTATTATACATTCTGGTATATAAAATTTATATACTTTATCGCCACTTTACCGCCTACTTGCAACATAGGTACAATATATATATGTATATGTATATGTATATATATATATATATTTACAGATTATACAATATGCTATGTGATATATGAATGAATTGCATTATTACTTATATAATATAAATAATAATGCAACTCATTCGCTCTCCTTTTTTCCATGTGGCGTTTTCTTTTAAGTGGTAAATAAATTAATATTATAAATATAAAAGTTTTAGTATGTCTACCTTTCACGCTTAAACTAATTTCTATAAAGTGCGGCAAGAAGGTCTAATAGTATCCTGGGGAAGGTACTTTTAGTCAAGGGAATATACCTTCAATCAATGTATTCCTTTCGTGTAGCCGCACGAGATATTTTCTTTTATTCATTTGTTCATTAGTTACGGCATATCGAAAGTCCACTACTGAATAGGCCTCCCCCGTAAATTGCCTGATAGAGGGGATTTTTCCACAGTCGCCAAGCCACTTAACAAGTTTGTGTTTGTTTGTTTATTTATTTAACATAAAAAATCACACAATTACAGGTTTACAGTCTGCCAAACTGCTCAGTAGTTTGTTAGCAGTAAAAATACTCTCTTACTTTCTAACGTGCAAAAAATAAAGTAGATAAAAAAAGAACTAACTTAATACAATTATACTACCACTAATATGACAAACCAATAGTATTAATATAACATTAATCAGTAATTTAAAGGGTAACGGCATTTTCCATATATTCATACATTTTGCATGTACGCGTACACATATATGTAATTTACATACATGCATACAAATATATGCATACATAATTATTACAGCTTACCTATGATGTTGAACAATGGATCGTTGTGATATAGGTATTCCATTTTTACTATTTATTAGTATAAAGTTTTTTTTTAACTTATTCCTAAACTGTTGTTTTGATTTATGTGTAAGGCATTCTTGCGGTATAATTGTTGTATAAATTTTTGTTATTAAATGTTGGAACGTTCTCTTACCATAATAACTAGTTCATTTATATTGTAAAGTTATTACTTTATGCGGTCTGCGCGTATTCTTATTTATGGGGATAAAACTACGCAATGCGTCACATTCACTTATTTTCATAAATCTAATAATAAAAAATAAAGCTGGCAACTGCAGTTATTTAAGTTTTTTATCAACTCCTCAGTTGTTGCAGTTTCCAGCTAGCAGAAAGTCAATGACGATACTTCAGATATTTCAGACGACGATATTTTAGATTTATCTTCAGTTTCAAGTTTGTAGTTGGCTAAGGAAGTCCCCACATTTATCGACGTGGAATCGGCTTCAGCCGGTCAAAAAAACCTTTATGTCTACGAAATACTGTTGTTGCTAGTGCCATTCTCATCTGCTCGGCTCGGACGACGTGTTATGACTTGGACGATGGCAAAACGAACAGTTTGCGATTAGCTGCACAAATTAGTGTGGCGCTGAAAGTAGTCGAACGTGCACGTCGACGTATTTAATTTTCCAAGGGTAGCCGAACGGTGCCGGATATAGCCGAACAGCATTAAAATGATCCGCTCACATGATTTCATCTCCAACGGCAGTCGAATGGCGCAGAAGATGGCTGAACGACGATGGATGACAGTCAAATGATGAACGATGAGTTGACTGCCGAACGTAACCCCGGCAATTCATGTTGGCCAAGTCTCAGCCAACGCGAGTGTAGGCAAAATGATACAAGGCGACTGCTTCAGTCTACATTGCTACATTGGTCAAGTTCGAAAGAGACCAAATCCAAGGCTAATGTTCACGAGATTTTGTGGAGCTATCTACTTGTTGGCTGTAATTAGTCGTCATTGAGAATTGGTATAATATGGATAACGTAAAAGTTATTGCAGCTTCTGCTATTTATTTAATAATGTCATTTAATTATTATGTCAGTGTACTACGTAGTAAAGTTAAAAAACTTAAAGATGTCCTTGTTAGTATAGAGATTTTTTTAAAATAAAATACGAGTGAGAAACGAGCATACAGTCCACCTGATAGTAAGTGGATGCTGTGGCCCATAGACATCTACATTTAGCTTCAATTAAGATTCAAAATGCAGATACGTTGTCACTCCTGAGGTCTGAGATGGAATGCCTCGTTTCCAGTAAAAAGGGTCTCCGGTTCTCTACACTCACCATACGAAACACAGCAGCATTAAGCTACTATTTTACGCTGGTTTTCTATGAGAGCGTGGTCCTACCCCGGTCGAACCGACCCATTCGTGCTGCAACCACAACTGCAGCATGGCTCTACCGCGTAATTAAACATGGAGGTTAGGAAGAAGAAGAACAATCGCTACGTGCTAAAGCATAGCCCGCCTGTCCCCATAGAAAATATATACCCCTACCTGTCCCTCAACTGTCGTGGGTAAGAAGTGTCTGCGAAGTAAGCTATTTATAAGTAGTTGAAATTAGTTGAATAATATTCAAATTTTCTTCGCGGCATTTATGAGAAAATAATCGTGCTCCGTAATTTTTTAACTTTTGATAAAAGGAAACATTAAAACATGGTGAAATATATTATTGTGCGTGGATGCGCAAATAGTTTAGCATCTGATCGGAAAAATAGACTAAAAATGACTTTTATTGAGACAACTTAGCGATTGCAGCGCCTCACTTATTTTGTCCGTATTTCTTGGACACTATTTTCTACAGCGATCGTTCTCCTTTTCTCTAACTTCCATGTAATTAAATGTATCGAAAAGTTATGTTCCAAAATGCACTTAATGATTCCGTCTAGCTTTGCTCTTTTACATTCCCAGCCATTAGAGGGGGTGCTCTCCACCGTGCATAAATACGTTCGAGATCGCAGGTGAAGGTGCTCTACTTCTTATAAATAACTTATTAATTTATTTTTCCAAAAATATTCATTTTACTTCTGTCGTGGTAGAGCGTGCGAGCGAGAGGTAAAGTAACGTTGAGCAACACTGCACATGTCTGAACGCCGAGAAATCCCAGCGGAATTGAGAGAATTTTCAGGAGTTTCTAGTTTATAAATGGCATATATGTAAAAAGTACGAAAATATATACTTTTTTAATTTTATTTATTTCTAACTCACTTGAAAATAGTTCTATTTTATGTGGTTTTAAGTATGAATTTGCTACATTTATACTTCTAATAAAAAAATAGATATTTGCAGTAAAAAAATCATGAAATTGCAACTTTTTAAGCCCTTCAAATAAGAAAATTAAAGCATTTATAAAAAAAGTGATCAGATCAGATTATTTTAGACAATATGTAAATAAATGTGATTTGAATACTTTTCTTGATATTGTTATAGTTTGTACATAGCAGAGGCTTTAATAAGACCTTTGACGCATATAACCTAAACATAGGCATGTTTAACGCCTAATAGAGCTATTAATTTAAACACCAAAATAAAATTAAAAAACAGTTTCGAAAATATCCAATCCTACACTTTAAATAAATGTAAAATATGTTTCACTTTTTCCTTTTTTAAATACCATAAAAAAATATTTGTTTTGCTGTAAATTTTGCGAGAACACTAATTTTTACAAGACTGGGGCCTTAAGTTATATTTACTAGGTAAATTCTTTTCCTGCCTGGGAGTCCGTCTGGGTAAGCATCCACTCTCTTACCTATTTCTGACGTCGTAGAAAAATTTTATACTATAACAGTGCTTTTATTTCTGTTTTCAGATCTTTAGGATATAGAGAGCCAATAGAATTAAAGGCTATGAGATATTTCATCCATAAATTGTACCTAACAGGAATTCCATCTTATTCTTAGTTACATAGATTAACAACGCATATGTAACCTTCTTCATTTGATGTTGGTTGCAAATTCAATAAAGATGAGGAAAATATATATCAAAAGTCTTATTGACTTTACTGTCCTTATTTATTATAAGAGAATATAGTGATTCACCATTATCATTTTCGCAGTTAAACCCTGGAGCATGAACACCTATTAAATTGTTGACGAGGAGTGTAGCAAATGCAGACTCAAACTGTTCTGTTGTTGAATTATTGTTGCGGCACCCATGACTGCGAATGGCCCCAAAATATTTTTCAAAGGGTCTTGGTTAAGGTGCCGCATCCAAACAGAAGTTATTTTGTCTTGTGTATCTTTCTCCAACTTTGCAACAATGTCTTCCATGCCGTTAAGGGTAGTTATCCAACTCTGTACTGTTGGTATAAATTCTGTATTTAAGCTCCTTGGATTTAGAAATTGTAATGTCTTAAGTATTTTTTTACCTTCCCTCTATACTTTTTTACGAATTGACATGGGGGTTACTGGACCAAGTAAAGGTTTAATGTATTTATTTTTAGAATGACTGCCATTTACAGAGTCAAATAAATTATCCATAAAAAAAGAAAATCTGCAGTCTCCTTACATTCCTCAGGAAGGATGCCTTTATCTGAAACTGGTAATGTGAAGTGGTGAAAGTGGTATTATATAAATTCTCAAAACAATGCCTCAATGCTTTAATATTTTGCATTAATTCTTTAATAAAAATTTGGTTTATTCATTTCTAAAATAAGAAATTATAACTAATATTACGGAAAGAATCATTTACAAATTGTTGCCTTGCAATCTGTCAAATATTTCACCTTATTTATAAGTGGCGCCGCGCAGCCCTGATAGTCATTGAAAATTTGGCTCTGGCAACAGTTCGAGACTATTTATGTATGTAACAATGATAATTTAATAAGCCAAACAATAGTCAAAGAGTAAGTCTTCACAAAAAAAAAAACAAGTATGCAAGGTAAAAAAAGTTCAAACTTTCAAATTTAATGTTTGTATTGTTTATTATCCGTTACTAACGAAAAGTATTTATATTGTGAGTATAAAGTACAAATTTATTGAAAACTAGAAAAAGTATAAAAGCAAAGAAAGAAGAATCTTCCTTGCAAACGTTTTAGAGACAAAACAAGAAGCATTGTTTTGAAAATGGGTGAGATTTTAATATTCAAGACTTCAAATTAAAAATTCAAACGAATAGTAAATATCTAGATTAAGTTATTGTGATGTTTTAGATTCAGATGAAATCACGTTGGAGGAAAAATGCGAAAATCTTATGAACGTGGTCGTTGAATCACGTAAAAGGTTTGGAAAAATGTGTGTAGAATACGAACAAAAATCAATACTTGTAGAGAATAAAATACTTAATTTACAACTCGAAACCATATCTAACTCCAGAATCAAACCTAAGAATCAGATTCCCAACATAGATGTAGATCTTATGAGGAAGGAAGTTGACGATTTTATGGCTGATATTTTGGAAAGAAAAAAAAGGGTAGAGAATTTAAAGAAAAATTTAAAAGATGCACAGCATATAGTCTTGCAGCTTAACAAAGACAAAATTGGCAAGAAGCTTCGACAACCACTCAGTGCAGAGACAATGTTAGCAGTTGCTAAAAACAATCAATTAACTTAGAATATGTAACTTTTTTGTAAGCTGAATTTTATGTCAAGCTTACATAGTTTTGAGAAAGATTTTCTATAATTAGAGTGAGCAGACCAACAAAGTCTCTTTCCATTGAATTCTGTATAAATATAAACAATGTTTAGTTATTCTTATTTTGAAATATTTGAACATTTTTAAATTCTAAACTGTGCATAAATGTCAGTTTTATAGGTGCCACAGCTGGGCTTTTCTTATTTCTAAGAGTATTGTAAGGACTGAGAGGAATCAGCTAGTCCTTGATGCTGCATCAGTAATCTTGAATTTCCTTAAAAAAAATTATTCTTTTAACATGCAGGGGTGCTCGCTATGTTTTTCTTCACTGCCAACTGTGTTGTAATTTAGCACTTGAAATTGTAATTAATATCATAGATGCTGGTGTTAATCAAACTCCGTTCAGATTTTATTTTAAAAATGTGTTCACATCATTAGCTTTTTGAAGAAATGTGTAAGCATACTAATAAAGTAAACACATTTCCCTTATTAATTTTAATAATATCAATAGCATTATTAGATTACCCCAGATTGCCTCATAAACAGGATTTTGACATTCTTGCCATATGTGATGGGAGGTTTAGCAACTGCAGTTTTATCATTATTGTGAGTTGTTGATAAGAAGAGGCTGCAGCCCATCTCTGTCACCTTTTACATCATCAATGAGACAATATCAGGTAGTGGATATTCAATGTAAATGTAGTTAAACATACTTAGTATTTTGTAAATATTTCTTAAACCATTTGTATGAAAAATACTTATTATTATTAAACAGTTTGTCAAAAGTTGATAGATAGGTGTTGTTACCAACTGATTAAACAATGAAAGTCCAAATGATAAAATTATGTCATGTCAATAACATTTTGAATTTACCAAATTATTGGCATGGGCAATGTTTATGCTAATTTGTTGATATGTTTTTGATTCTGGGCTTCAAAAATGTAATGTAACCATGCCTCCTATACTATTGCTGATTTTCAAACGAGTTCTGTTGCATCCGAGAGACTATTTTCCCCCACAAGTCTTATTCTAACCGACTCTTGAAATAGCCTTTCACCGCAAAAGTAAATGATTCTAATTTGTGGTTTGTTTTTATCACATTTTAAATGTACTAACTGTATTGGTATTGCTGATATTTTTATGAGTGCTTGTCAATGCATCACTGTTTATGAGATTATTGAAAATAAAACTTATTTTATGACTTTCATCGTGTTGATTACTTATTTTTATATTTAAATTTACTTATTCTAACATTCAAAGCTATGGTCACAGAGGGGACTCAGGTGTTTGACCCGGCTTGCCTTGTGCTTTGGAATATTAATTTGTGGTCCTATGTATGCAGAATAAATGAGCTAATAGTGTCTTGAAGTCATGCAGTGCCAATCTGGCAGCACCAAGCGATCAGACTAGCCCTGTCTTTTTTTTTTAGAAAATGATATGTAAATGATGAGTTATAGCTAGTTTTTTTACAGTTTTATTACATGCATATAAGAATGATGTCAGCCTTATCTTAATTGATATCAAAATGCATACAGCAAATCAGCAAAGGAGTGGGTCAATTTACCTGAATCTGTCTTTCCATCTGATTACAATGTGCGATGTGTGCTGTCTTCAAGACAAGAGTGAATAGGCATTTGTTAAACTAATTGTGTGTGCATCTTCTACTGCATACCATTTACCACCATTAAGTGAGACAGTGTTCTCGCTTAATGGAATAAAATAATTGAATACCTAGTTCTGTAATTTAACCCTCAATGCATCAGGACAGTAGATGTCTACTGTACAGCCTAGTGCATAAGAGTAGCTAAACAGTAATTTGCAAAAACTGGATTAAAACATACCATAATTAGACCATTATATATAACATGTTATACTGTACATAGTGATCATAAAATCAATGCTCAAAATATTATTGCATTATTTATTTTGTTTTGCTATAATTGTGATATTTTAATATTTATTGTTTGCACCTGCTAAATGTTTTTTCTATTCCCAGAGTTGACTGGCAGGGAACGATATACCTATAGCTTATAGGAATAAACATAAACTGGTTACTTATAACTCTTTCGCCCTCACGGTCATCAGACTCTGGAATGCCATCCCTGTTGACATTAAAAAAGCTCCCAACAAATTCATTTATAAATATCAAGTATGTAAGCATTTGAAAAAATTGTCAAGTTTTTTTTAAATAATAATAATATTAATATATATTTTATTTACTCTCACAATTTAAATTAACAAGTTAGAGTATAAACAATGTGTATACTATGGGCTGAGAGTCTGGTGTCTATACTAGACGGAACGGAGTGTGTGAGTGTGTGCGTGAGTGTGTGCGTGTGTGTGCGTGAGTGTGTGCGTGAGTGTGAGTGTGTGTGTGTGTGAGTGAGTGTGTGTGTGAGTGAGTGTGTGTGTGTGTGTGAGTGAGTGTGTGCGGGTGTGTGTGTGAGTGTGTGCGGGTGTGTGTGTGTGTATGTATGATCTGTGTATGTATGTATGATCTATCCAGTACTAAAACTATGTACCTATATGAAATAAGAAGGCTTTCAGTGGTCTCATAGTCCAGACTTACAACCATTGAGTTACTTTTAATTTGCAAGTACGTTTATTAAGTGGATAAATGCCATTCTAGCGTTTACTGTATTATATAGAAAATTACCCAGAAAGATAATTTATGTGAAAATTTGATGCAATTTGTTGTAGTAACAGACTAGGTCATTTCTGCGCTTATCTTTTTATCAATTGTAAATTATAGTGTAAGAGTGAGCGCTTTATAATGATACATTGTAGAATAAAGAGCTGCCTGACATATAGGACTTTCCAATGTTTGTATAGGTCTACTGTTGATGCTCGTGTGTGAGAATGTTAGTAATGGAGCGGGTTATGCTGGCAGGATGTTAACTGGAGAGCATGCAGTACCAGTTAGATGAGCAATAAATAACACTACTTCAGAGTTTCTTCTTATTTATTTTCTTGATGCTTATTCTTACATTGCCGGATTTGGAATGTTTTACCACAAAAAACGCCTCTTTTTTATAGGCAATTTCGACCAATCAAAATGGTAAAATTTTGCACACGGCACTAACGAATTTACACACGGCACTAATGATTTCCGTCAACCAATCAGAGCGCAGAGCAACCTTTTCTAAGGGAAACTTACAAATTTCTTTTATTTTCGTGGTAAAACATCCCTTACAATGTTTTTATGCATTCCTGGTAATAGAAATAGCTTATCTTAATCATTCATAAAACCCTTAATATAAACCTTTAATAAATAAAAATTGTGGAGCGGTCTTCCTACGGTATAGCTCCGGACCGCGCTAGTGAGCGGTCACGTCCGCCGGTCGTCGACTCCCGCCCGGGTGGGAGAAGTACAGCGCGTTGCTTCGCAGTGGGTGCGCGCGCTGTGGGGCCAACTCGGCTTGCGTGGAGCCTTGAGGACGACCCTGACCCCACCCGGGATGAAGATTACCCAACGCTGCGCTTCACCTACACGCTGAGAAGCGAACTCCGAAGGCCCGGCGCGCCCAAGTGCGCGCGCCTGTTGGTGACTTCGGCTCCGCGTCGAGATGCTTCTCCGCGGAGCCTTGAGGTTGCTGACCCTTCGGCAGATTCCCTTCCCAGAGGCGCGAGACACGCCAATTCCAGCCTAAGGATACCAGGCCTTCAGCTAGAACCAGGAAGGAGCACTGGAGGTCCAGAGCAGCTGCTGTTGGAGCGCCCTCCTGTCGGCAAGATTGGCCCTGCGTCGACTCCCATCCTCAGGACTCCGCGGGGCTTCGAGACGGCCGACCCTCCGGTAGCATCGACCTGGTGGCGCGCAATACGCCAACCAAGATTACCAACAATGTCGTCTTGTACGGCTCCCAAGACCGGCTCATTGATATGAGCTGTGAGGATTACCCGGGTAATGGGGAACTCCCCGAGGCCCGAACCTGCATGGGATAAACAAAAGTAGTACCATAGCAGACGACAATCAACAACATACATGTGGCGCCGCCAGGCGGCAGGAATGCACAATGCTTATGATGATAACAACATTACGCTCTTCTAATATTCTAATTAAACTCAAATAAGTAATTGAACTCACATTTTGTTACTGACATTCGTTACGTAATTTTAGATTTGCAAATAAGAATTGAAGCTAGTGTTACGAGCTTGAGGTTCGTGACAATAAAAATTGCCGATAAAATTACCTAAATTAACACTTTAATTTACTTTCCACAATTAAAGTTAAAACACTAATAATTTAAACACACTAATTCACTTAATTCCACTCCGAAGCTTCGCTTGTTTCGCCCAAATCAACACTACTTCGATCGCACCTTGCAGCGCCTACTTATTTAAATTAGCAAATATCCAGAATGTTCAAGCAAACACGCGTAAGGCACCGAGAATTCGAGTATAGATTTTCTAGAAACTTAGTTCGTCGGGTGGCGCTGTCGGTCGAAAGGTTTGTGATGTCATTTACTGCCAAGCTCCCCTCGCTCCCGTTCCCGACACTAGATGGCGCTAGTTGACTTATTCATGCAACACTGCCCCCTCCTAAGACATGCTCGTCCCGAGCATTATCGGTCCCATAATAACGCGCCAAGCGATCCACATGGACGATCTTAGGAGTCCCTCTTGCGCCTTTCTGTATCCGGTAGGTCACATCGTTGATCCTGGTTACAATCCGGTACGGGCCGTCCCATTTAGCTTGAAGCTTAGGAGATTTCCCTTTGCTGCGGACTGGATTGTGCAACCACACTAATGAACCTTCGTTGAACCCTTTATTGTTCATTTTGCGGTCGTACCGGGTTTTCATTTTCTCAGACATTTGCTGGCCCGATTGTCTGACGTGCTCATAAATGTCATTCATTTTGTTCCGCAAGTCATTTGCATAATCGGTTATACTGCGTGGGGCATCAGGTGGTATCCCGGTGATCAGGTCCGCAGGCAGCCGTAATTCTCTTCCAAAGTTTGCGAAAGCTGGTGTCACT